TCTGCTTTTTGAGATGCTTGTAGCTTTGTAATGGAAAGTCGTAGAAAACGCAGCGACCCATCATTTTCTTCAAAATTTTCGGATCTTTAACATTGCTATTGTCAAAAACTTGTTTCAGCAACGTCTTATAGGACTTGAAAAACACGGTTTTTAGTTTTTTGGAAATCTTTCGACTGTGATTTACTCATGAAACTCCGCTATAGAGTGCATTAAATAGAAAACTTCATTGGCTTTCAGAATCACTATTTGGATTTGAGCTAACTATTTAGTATCGTAGAAAAAAATCAAAAATAATGTGTTCTTATATTTTTGTCCAGTACTGTATATTCTTTTCACATTAATAATAAATTCAACTTAAATGGAAAAGAAAAAAAAATTTCATCATTATGTGTTTACTTATTATAATATTTTCTTTGCTTTCTGCAGCTTTTCAATGCATTGAGGATAAATATTTGTTTTTGCATTAACATGAGAAAAAAAAAATAATAAAACGAAATGAATATGATAAATGTGCAGATCATCTTAAAAGGTTTTTTTCTTTATTATTTTATTTTATGTTGATAATGAACTATAATTTAATCTGAGAAAATCAAGATTTTATGAAATATTTTGCAAAAATATCTATATATATATATATATATTCAATAAATTTACATTATTCTTTATTATATATAAATATATGTTGTGATCAAAATTCAAATCCAGTCAAATTTTAAATTTGCTCAGGCAAAATTCAAATTAGAATTTTGTCCAACAAAATCTCAGTCAAAATTGTAATTTCAATTTTGCCTAGACGAAATCGAAAATTCTTTTTGATTAACAAGATAAACTAAAGAAGCAACTATTTTTTTTATTTCAAAAAATTGATTAAGCAAAGTAATAATAATCTTAAACTAATCTATCCCATGTTTAAACATTCACCTCTTTTTGAGTGAAACTTTATTGATCACAATACATTTTCTTTTTTACATGAACATGTTTTGGCTACACACTTAGGTTGACAGTTACAAGTACGTTCGGTAATGGAGCCACGAGTATAAATCTTTGATGCTTCAATAATAATTATTGTTTTTAAATTATAAACATCTACGTGTTTCAATTGATAAGGACAAGCATCTTGTAAATGATAGAACTGTCCAATTTCAAATGTATTTTTTAAAGTATCATATTGAAAAATTAATTTATAAAAAAAATGTTCATTTTTCTCATCTTTTCTGTAATAAGACATGGTAAATATTTTGATTCAGTATTATCTCTATCAACTGAATTTTGTACTACATGCATTATTTATTGCAGCGAACAATTATTTCTTTATTTTGATCTACTTTTATTGTACGAATAACCATAAACAACAAAAGAAACAAAGTAGAACAAAATAAGAGAGAATATCAATGTAACATAAGCAATTACGGCAACTTTAAATTTGACTGGATTTGAATTTTGATCACAACATATACATATCTCTTTTCATTCATCTTTCTTCGATTTCATTTTCTTTGTTTATTGTCTCTGTAATTGCGAAATGGTTGTGAAAGATAGATAGAAATTTGTATAATTAAGATCATAATCAATATAATATCATTGATTATATTAAAATGATGTTTTTTATCAAGTAAAAAAAAAAGACTTACACGGTCCATTGACAATCGTATATTGAAGTTTATATTGCTCATTATTCACAATAGAGTTTTCTTTTAATTTTGAATTTTCATTATTGTTACTAGTATTTGATCGTATAACTGCATTCACCCAAATATTGTCTGGTGGAAGTTGCTTAAGCGCTTCTTCTTCATAAGCCTTTGAAATTTTCGGAAGTTCACTACGAATAGGTACCGTATGATATTTTTCTTGATTACATTCAGAAGTATTTTGTTGATCAACAGAAGCGGAAAAATAACTTGCCATGTGCAAAAGTAATAGTTAAAGAAAAGGAAGAAAGTAATCTATTTTGATATATGAGTCTATCACCTCAAAAAACAAATACACCTGATAAATAAAAAAAGAAAAGAATAAAATGCATGGGCATTACTTTTTCCTCTCAAAATATGATTCATAGAGAAATCGGATACCAAAATTTCACATTCTTTTTAAGGGTGCGGGTGTAAATATAATTATTCTTTTTAGCCACACCTATAATGCAGCTACAGTGAAGGTGTTTCATATAAAAATTTACTCATATTTTGAAATGATATTAGAAAATACTTTAATGTAATCAATACTCTTGTACTCTTACCAATTTCTTGAAAAATCAGGAGAAAATATAATCTTAAACAATTTTTGTTTGCCCTCTTAGCACTCGAAGAATGTAGCTTTTAGTTTTTGTTTTGGTGCTTATTGTATCCCAATACGCCTATTTACCTAAATTGAAAGATCAATGTATTATACCAAGATTTCAACGATTTATAATCTATGCTGTAGTGTACTAGTTCGATCGTTCTACCTTGACTCAACATCAAGCCAGAGCGCTGAAGGCTTCATCAAAGTTTTGAGACCTTACATGTTTTACTAAAATTTTCAAATGGATTGATTGATTGATTTCAGCTCAAGTTATCGATTCCAGACTTAAAAGCAGCGATGACTTCTTGATAATGGTTTTCATTAAAGAAAGGTTAGTTTTTCGTAATCTCAAGACAACTTCTGATCAATATTTTTCTGTAGATAATGTTACGGTTCGACTTTATAATAAGAGATTGAAAGACAACTAAAATATGACCTTCAAACGACAATAATGGTGCGAATCTGATAGTTTTAGTAAATCCAGAGGATGAGAATGGATAGTGTCTTCAATTAGAGTGATCTGAAGTCGACTTGGGCTCAAAGTATCGGCTAAAAATAATGGAATACAATGGCACTTCAGACTGAATACCACTTCTTGTCTACGACTGTAGATTTGATCTAAGTCGACTCGACACTGTAACTCTGTCAATCTATTGTCACCTGAAAATTAATGAGAGTCATTTAAATTCGACAGTTGATAATGATGATCGAGTGAATCATAATATTGAGTACTTTTCATGATAACAAAGTTGTTCTAAAACTGGATTGTTCATATTCATAACTCTTTATCTAAGAAATTGAACATTTTATTTATAAAATGTCTTCTTTTCTAATCTTTCACGTTAATCAACCTAAGTCTTCAAGATTTTTCTATATCAGAAGCAGATCAAGAAAATAACACGTTCCTTTAAATGTATTTTTTTCGTAATAAAACAACTTATTTAAACAAAAAATGTGTATTCAAACAAATACATACCCAAGTAGATTGAAAATTGAGCTAGAATAGTTAGAACATGAATCGCTCTTAGAATGGCAATGGTGCTATGTTTGTAAATGAGAATTGTATTCAAACTGATTTTAAGTGAGCTTTGACCCATTTGAATTCGTCTTCTGTTTGATATACACAAAGCATATTCATTTAAAACATACCGCTTCATACAGAAAGTTTGGTGTCAGTGACAGGAGGTAGGACATTTTTTAAGGATCATTTTTTCTAATATAAACCTTTATATTGAAATTTTCACCATTAATATGCGACTTAAAATAATGGTAAAATATTGTTGCATTGATAGTAGCATTTCTATTCTATTTTTCCAGCTATAAAATGATCTTTTTGATAGTATCATTTACTGTCATCAGCGAGAATATAGTTCCTGGTTAAATTATCTTTGCCACTGAGGTCTGTGTCGAGAAAATGGATTTTTAAGAAAGTTCATTTTATCTTTGGTTTATTAGGTTTTTGTAATGATGGATGACAATGTGGCTGAAATAGGGAGCATAGAAATAGGTTTTCTTATTAAATGTGTTGTTTTAAAAGACAAAAAGTATTCAAAATATTTGCTTAGTGTACTCAAGTCACGTTTTTAAGTTATTTATTTTCATTGATACAGATGTTATTAGAATGAATATAATAAAAAATATTTATGCTCTTACAAAATATTATAGAGATGTTCAGAGCAGACAAATCGACTTTTATTTGGTCGAAAACCATCGTGCTCATCAGAGATTGGTGTATACAGGAGGACATTTACTACAATCTTGAGATGAACTAATTTGCTACTTTTAGACATCTGCAATGTACGACTTTAACCGTTATATTAAACTAAAAAAGAGTTTACATTCAATAACAAAACCTATTTCTATGCTAACTATTTCAGCCACATTGTCATCCATCATTATAAAAATTTAATAAAACAAAAATAAAATAAGCTTTCTTAAAAGTCCATTTTCTCGACATAGATCTCAGTGGTAAAGATAATTTTACCAGGAATTATATTCTCGCTGATGACAGTATAGAAAGAATCTGAGCCAGAACAATTGATTTAATGATACTATCAAAAAGATCATTTTATAGCTGGAAAAAATGAATAGAAGTGCTACTATCAATGAAACAATATTTTGCTATTATTTTAAGTTGCGCATCAATGGTGGAAATTTCAATATCGACACGGCCAGCCATCGGTCTCCTTCGTTGGGGAACGTTCGAAATCAGTAAGATTCAGAAAAAAAATTTGTTATAGAGAGTGATCTTGAAATATTATTAAGCTTGTTCCGTATTCCGAGTTACTCAGCTGACATATAAAACCAATATCATTTTTCTTTCCTACGAGTTTAAAAACACGAATAATTACGAAATTTCACTTTTCATTTTTGTCAAAGGAATGAATGGAATTTTCAAAAGAAGATGAAAATAAACTAATCGATTTGTAGGAAACAATATTCTTAATCATTAAAGAATAAAAAAAGTTACATCTCATAGTTAAAATTATCATACAAATGGCACTAAACTGTCCTCCATGGAAACAATAGAAAAATGGTGAAATTCCATAACATTTAAAATTCCGTAACGCTCAGCTTTTTAAGTTATCTTAGTTGAAGGGATTGTCCTATAGAGAAAACAACATGATATTATAAGAGTTTGTGAAAAACTGAACAATATTTGTAACGAACATTCATTTATGAGTAGTTTAGTTTCGTAGAAAAAGCGCTAAAATTGGAGTGACCTCGAAAATTTTGTCCATTTTTTGAAATTCCGTAACGGATGATGTTTTTCAAATAACTTCGCTATGGCTTCTGATAACTCAATGAAATTTTCAGCGGTGGTAGAGCTAATCAATCTTCATCTATGCCTAAAATTTTAGAAATGTTTCTCTTGTTATTGAGGAGATATGTATCTCACAAATTGAAAAAATGAAATTCCATAACGCTTGGCAGCGCCGATATATAGATTTATATTAGAAAATAAATGCGAAAACATCGGATTTAAATCCGACTGTTATGTGTACTTCAAAAAGTAAACAGGTATATTCACTTTGTTTTTTATCATTTGAGACAATATCTTCCCTATTCGATGGAGTTTTTATGTATTTTGAGACCTTTTTTGGGGGATGTTTTGTTAGAAAGCTACGATTTAGTTCAAAAATAATATCAGATTCAGAATCACCGTTAAAAACTGAGTCGATTTAAATATGTTGTGAAGAATTCGGAGAAAAAAATCCCTGTACTCCCTCCCTCCCTCATTCAGCGATGGTCTTCTCAATGATGACAATTTTTTCGATAACTCAGCCATTTCTTGACGGATCCTGCTCATCTTCGAACTCAACCGAGACATTGTTAAGACTGAACTGAATAGAAAATTTCATCGTGATCTGCATCTCCTTTCGAAAGGTATCGTGTAAACGGCCGACCGGACATATTGACCGATTCTAGAATCTATGAACTTTTTGAGTATACAAAAATTTACATTTTTATGTTATATGTTTTATAAATTTACTTTTTTTTTCTTTTTTTGAAATTGAGATGAAAAACAGATTTACTCTGAACAGCTAATTTATATCTTTATCGGGCTCGAAAAGTCGACTCATCTTGCCATAAAATATGAAGGGAGAGTTTTAGTCCCAAGTTTTAGTTTCCAGTTCGGATTAATGGTAGCGATTTGCTGTTAATTAGTTATAATTTTAAAAGATTTAAATTTCTGAATATCCGATTTAAATTCGAAATAAATAAAGCTTTTTAAAATTTATTTTTGGATTTATAAATTTTTCGTAAATGTTAATTTATCATCCCAAGTTGGAATTTCTGCATGTGAATATTTAATTCCCCTTCGCCAACATTTTATGTTAACAGATACTTTTATGGTCGATTATTTTCGCCGGATTTTTAACAGTTTGACTGTAAAATTCGTCCGACCGGTTGCTAACCGGATAGAAAAAACCGGTCCGGTTGCAACTCTGTCACAGTGATAATATGTAAGTAATGGAAAAAACACACATATAAATGAATTATCAGTTAAAAAGATACTCTTAGACATTTAAACATAGATAAGGTAGTAATTAAAAAATGGAATAATATAAGTAATTACTTAAGAAGATATTCATATGTTTCTATATTTTCTTTTGTATTTCTTGATTTGTTAAGTAGAAACGAGAGATAAAATTTTTCTTTATTGAAATAGATAAAACTAGCAGATAGAGTTTGATTTACTCATTGTGACGATATACAAATCAATGAATTCTTATATAAGAAAAATGAATAGATAATATAATTGAAAATTAAACATATTCATAATTTTTGAAGTATTGTATTATTTTTCAATGCACTATAGTCAGATATTCTACTACAAGGACTCTAAATAAATATAAGACTTAGATTAAAAGATTATCTCTAAAAAAAAAAAGGTCCATTAGATTGATCATTTGATTTTATAATTTTTTTTGAAAATCTCTAATTATTTTATGAGGAAAATGAAGATTTTTAATAAAAAATATGGATTCTATTTTCAATTATGTTATAGTATGAATGTTTGTGCAAGTACTTTTATTTTTAGTTATTAGCAAGTAAAATATTAATTATCAAAGTATTTGCTTGATTATTAGTTGAAAACTATAAATCGTGGTAAATATCTAAATTTTTCTTTCGACCAATGAGGTTTACATATAGAAATTGATGCAAGAAATTCTCTACGAAATTTTCTTGATGAAAGCGAATAAATATAAAATCCACTTGCATCATTAGCAAAACATAAAATCGAAACGATACACTGACTCAAATTTTCCCATTCATGTTGTAGTAAGTCTTTTGGATAATAGATTGTCACACCATTGTACAATTTGTGAATAGTAAATGGCATAGTAAGAAGAATAAAACATATTAAATGAGTTAAGATCATCCGTTGAAAATCTTTTATTTTAACTTTATATGCATGTGCTATATGACAACGTCGCATATTTCTGATAGTTAATAAAGCAAATATACCACTTAAAAGTGGATAACAAAGATTGTACATAACCATAAAAAATATATCATAGATTATTTGATACCATCCAGGTCTTGTCCAACATTTTCCATTAACAATGACCAAATTGAATGACATATGAGAATTACTAATACATACGAGAACAATTACAATAGGAATGATTCGACGAGCTACCATCGTTTGACAAAAATTTCGATATCGACTTTGTCGACAACTTGATGCATATCGATCAAATGAAGCTAATGTGTTCAGTACAGATGAAATCAAATAGGTTGTACAAGTGATTGAAAGGCGAATTTTACACCACCAATCGATAGTAAATTCTCTTGTATTAATGTTATAACCGAGATCGAGCATTCGTACGAATACGCTAAAGAAAAGACGAATGAGATCTATGCAAGATGATGCGAGAAAATAATTACAACATGAATTTTTTATCATTGTTGATCGAGTAAATAGTCGTACATTTAACAAATGTCCAATAATACCTAATATGAAAATGATCGTTAAAGCAACACGATATGTCTCCTGAGTAATACTTTTCAATAATTGAATGGTAATAAAATTATTTTCTTCATGAGTATTATTCTCCATTTAGTATCTATTTTTTAGACTAAGAAAATCAAAAACAATACGAACTTTATTTTTTCTTGTTAATCTATATAGTATTAGAAAACTTTTAATAAAATTCAATTCAAAATAATCT